TATCATAATATTTCCGTCAAAAATTATTTTTTGAATCATATCATAATTCTTATAGACCATAATATAATATGTTAAACATGAATAGATCTACATMATGTTTTCTGACGAATATATGATACACCACACGCACACATTTAAACCTGAAGGTAATGTATACACATATTATTATAACATATGATACGTTTTTTTTCGGTTTTCATTATTTTTTAGTTCGAGCATATTATACACTATCATCATTTATTCGTGTTTAAGCAAAATATTTTGATATAAATCTCTTTTCATATTATTTTATTTTTGCAGATCATTTCCATTTCAACGARTTTTTATAGGTATCTAACTTCTAACCAACAAACACAGACATAACATTATGGCAACATTATAATATACCTAACCACAAACTCATATAAGAATTCTAAGAGTATTGCAGTAACTAGTAAGTATATAGAATATGGTCTATAATTTACTCGTTGGTTGTTTTATATTTTTGACGGCCAATGTAGAAATTAATTTCGATAAATAAAATGTTATAAATATACACCACTTATAAGTTATAGACTTATTCTATTTTTGTTGAAAACTAGCATTGTCATGTTTAAAAAGCGGCAAAGTATGTACTCACCTATAAACCTCTCTACTGTACAGTAGGTGTAAAGTGTACCGCGTACCTTGTCATTAAAAAAATCAATGTAATGCGTGTTTCACAACCTTTTTTTTCCATCGTACGCACTTGGTACATTAAATACTGGTTATTTTGGGAGGTACTCAGGAAACTCCCGTATATATACGTACCCCGTAAAAAATAATGAGAYGCGAGTGTTCAGTAATATACAATAATTTACCATTATCAATTTTTCATTTTTTCCCTGGTTTACGAAAATAATTTAAAACAATATTAGGTCTTCATGATTACTAATTACGCTTCTCCAGCAATGGTGCTCATTCCYCAGGAAGTTGTTAAGCAGTGATTATTTGTTTTTGAATTACAACAAATTCGATTTTATTATTGAAACTTAGT